GTAAAAACTCTTCACTGATCAATTGAGTCTAACAAGGAAGAAAATAATGCAGGCACAACAGAGTTACCAAAGGTCCATGAAGACAGTGGACAAATGAACATCGGAACGCCCACGCTGACAATGAGGAAGAGCTTCTGCAGATGCACAGTCTGGGTTTAAGGTCAGCAGCAACAAATGGTGATAACAAAACGTTTTTTGTTCAGAGTATAAACACCGGAAGCCCACCACAGCACCACACGAACTACACTGACTATTTTGCACATTCGTGTGGTTTTTAGTTTTGGATTGGGGTTAAAAAAATAAAGAGTCACAGTCATCTGTTGTGTTTTAGTAAGGCTGCTTTTTTAGTTTTTTGATTGCAAAATGTATTTTTGATCGTCACGAGGTGAAGCAGATTTCTTTCCCAAATAAACACTTTAACACTCTAACACTCTAAACACTCTAACGTAACAAACCGTGTAGAAATCATACCTGCTATAATGAAACAATCGGCTGTTGCTTTTTGGCATTTATCCAAGTTCATTATATAACACGGACCAATGATACGGACTGACTGTGGTCATACTTGTTCCAACTAGACAAAAAATCAATAATGCAAAGATGTTTGTATGAATCGGTGTGGTTCTGTGTCAGCATTGTGTGCATTTTAACATTTTTTTTTCAAACGTAAGACACCTGTGTCACCCTTTCAAAAGCATCAGAAAGCGCAAAAGAATTGAAACATATTTTCTATGGATATATAACATACACTTTTCTTTATTGAGCCTTGCACTCCCCCATGTTAAACTACCACACGCTCAGGTCTACCAAAGTCATTTCAGATGGAAGAAGTAAGATTTTAAATTAAAGCAATTACATGAGCACATTTAAAGTTCAGTGGCACAGATTTATTACAAAAGATGACATTCCGAATCTTTCCTCAGGTAAGATAAACTACAATAAGAATGACCCTGGGCTCCAGATATCTTGAATATTTAATCCGGGATCTTTAATTGGTCCATCTTTTTGTTGAGTATATTTATTCTTAACTTCACACAGTTGCAGAATTCTGTAAAGCTATGCCTGCCCTACAGAGACCTCCCTGGTTTGAATAAGTTTCATTCTTGGACAAAATGCATAATTGGTGACACATCTTTACTGACGCCTGACAGGAAGTGGGTGGCCCTCGCTAAAGGCTTTCTTGTACAAGTAAAAAAACAAAAAAACATGTTGATCTATTTGGAGGAGAGAACAAAGCCTAATTATAAGAAATAAAGAAGTAGACTATAATACTACTGGATATTCACCTCGAGCATTAAACTCAGAGTCAAAACTTTGTTGAATGTAATTGCTTTACCTGCAGCCGCACGTTGACTTTGACGCACTTTAAAAAGAAAAGCCTGCTCCTCAAGCAAAGCCTCCTTCCCCTTTCTTTCATTGTATTTCTAGACTGCACCTCGATCTTCTTGTCAACAGTGTGGACCTGGAAGCCGGTCCTCAGGCTCCCGGCGCGAGCAAGGCTTACTCAGTATGATGAGTCTAGTTTTTCATTATTCTGTGTTACCCAGTAAACAAAATCAAACATTTATGAGAGTTTTATGCAAGGCATCGGGGGGACCTGTGTCTCCGTCTAGATTGAGAAAATAATTTACCTCTCCGTACCAAAGCTTCCCTGCTGTGGGCACTGGGGTCTCAGAGAGGCTGTGTTGTTGGCTCGCTGCCAGTGAAGTCAGCGGTCGAAATGGCTTGAAATATACCTTTGAACCCCCCCCTCTCTCTCTCTTATTTTTGTTCTATCCCTGCATCTACTTCCACATGAGTCTTTATTTTACATCATTACTTTTTCGTCCTTTTTTCACGTGGCGTCTACGGTCGTTAATCAAAAGGTGAAGGCATTTACGGCCGTGCTACGGAGGTTCGTCTTCCAACATCCAAAATGTTGCTCACAAAGCAGTAATGTTCCAGGAGAATGATTTGCCTAACAGTCATTAACCACATTATTGAACTACTTAACTCCGAAAGTGATATCAGCGACCTCAGTGGAAGGGGCAGACGAGACTCTCTTGTCTTTTTTGGCAGTGCTCCTGGGAGTCCAACCAACTCCAATCCACCCTTCTACGTCAGGCCAAAGTTGATACGGAGCCATCAATTGCATTAAGCACTGGCTTGATACACGAAACTAAACCTCCCCTTCAGAACAGGTCTCTGAACCCGATAAGAGTTGGCAAGGAAATAGACGGAGTTATAATTTATTGTTTGTCGTCGTCTTTATCTCAGCCTTCCTTCTCTTTATAGATGACTCCGGACATCTCTACTTTGTGACTCAATTACAGACAGTGGGAAGTCTGGGATGAAGTCATCCTGTAAAAGGAGATTTAGTTTATTCTAGACTTAAAGCGCAAACATGGGAGGTTACATATATATTGAATGTTTGTTGTATTAATGATTGTTGTATTGAAAATAGGAGCACCTTCTCTGTTATTCCTACGAACATAACCTACTTTGTATTTACGGTAGATCTTCAGTTCTTTTCTGTCTAAGCAATCATTTTTTTTGCGTACTTGAATTTGCTTAAAACATTTTCCTCTTTGCCGAAATTGGCAAAGAAGATCAGAAAGACTCAATATTAGAAGAAAATATACACTCCAGGAGGATGATCATATTCGACAAGTGCATGAGATTGCAAGATTCTGACTAACAACTGTATTTCGCCATCTTTCCAAAAAATATGTGAAAGCTAGAGCAAAATGGTAATTGTCTGCATGAATAACCAAAAAATGTGGTGAAAAAGCTCTGTTTGATATTATCTTTTAAGGTTTGCTGTCAGTCTCTAGTTGCAATCATAAAACAGACAAATAAATAAGCCTGATGTAGAACATAGTGTTCCCAGCGCACCCTCATAGGGGTATTTTATTTTGTAGTTGTTTGAGCTTCTGTACAGATTGGTCGGTTGAACAGACACAATGTACTAGAGACTTCTACAAATATAGATCATGACAGGCTTTTATATTTATAACTTTTTTCTCATTTGTCTCAAGACAATCCTGGAAAGGAAATACAAAAGTAAATACTGTCACAAGTGTCGCCTTCCAGTGGCTCACTAAATTAGTATTTATGTCTGTAAAACAGATTCATGGTTGGATGAAAATCGAGGGAAAATAAAACAATTTCCAAGTGTTCTGAAAAGTGCCCCTCAACAGCCTCCTCTTGCATGTAGAGTTTGGGTCAGGCATTCTTTCACCAGCCCCTTTTTGCAGATGGTGATTAGATCTTTAATTGTCAAGGGAAGGCGTGACTGAGAAGCAGGAAAGAGGAAAAAGGGAAAAACAGATTTTTAATCATGGCCCACTAAATTAAGATTCAAGGTTCCGTCTTGTATCTCCGGCTGATCTATTCCCCTCTCCCTCACAGTGTCTCTCTCTCTCTCTCTGATTGTAATACTCATTCAGAGAGATACGTCCGTCATATCCAGTCCCCATACATGGGCGCATTTGACGGCCCAGGACGAGAAAGAGTGCCGACTAAGTTGGACTCATTTTAGAAAGAGCAGAACAAAAGTGACAAATCTGAGGATTTTGGCAAAAAAAAAAAAAAAAAGAGTTGTTGAAATACTCTGTATACCACGTGAGGCCGCTTCACTGACTGTCCATGAGATTCAAATGTGACACAAGGCAGAAACCCCATATTGAATATTGTGTGGAGAAAAAATGCAAAGATTCTCAGTGGCTCATTCAGCGCCACAGGGTGGATATAATTATTGGATATCACACCGCTCCCGACGTGTCTAAAAATGCAATTGGATCCACAGACATGAGGATTGTGCTGAGACATGATTGCTCCACATGTCCATCTGTCTGAAGATGTGGGAGGGTGGTTTGCAAGCCAAGTCTGGACATGCACATAACGACACGCTATCAAAGTGTCCATCAGGCAAATATGCGTTTGTGCGTCTTCATTTTCCTTGGCTGTTCTCCCAAGAGTAACTTTTTAGAGGGCACGGACAAACACCATAAAATTTATGAGGCGTTGCTGAGGTAGATGTTTTAAAGTGTTGGATTTTCCAGATGCATGATGCCTCTTGCCTTAAAGTTAAATTACCTGCGTGGCCACGAGGAAACTGATGAAAGTCAGGTGTTTAATTATTTGATCAAAATGAGTAGATTAGGTTTAGCATTGAACTTCACAAACTAGCGAGGGTTGATTAAAGACACTTCTTTTGTGTGGAGGAGAGAGGACCCAAACGCAAGAGCAGGTAAAGTCTGTTTTAATCAACTTAGAATGTCCAAAAACAAAATGGCACTAAAGGCTTAAGAGGAGAGGTGCGGGCGCTTGGCCGGCGACGGGGAATCCCAGAGAGTGCAGGGAACGAGCTCCAGGGCGAGGGTAGAGCACTCCAGACAGCAGGCCGCCCACGTCAAACCGGAGGCTGGGTGGAACAGAGGTTTGGACTCGGGCCACACCGTAAGGCGCGAACCGTACCGGACACGACAAGGCCGGAGAAACAAGACTACAGGTACGTCGGGTGCATAGTCAATACTCTGGCAGAGAACAAGGAGAAGAGGCAGGCTAGAAATAGAGAGTCTAATTGCAGAAGGTAGGAACAGGTGAGGGGAAGAGAGGATGACGAGATGAGAAGCAGCTGGGAATGAATGAGCAGGTCTAAGTGTGTGTGTGTGTGTGTGTGTGAAGAAAGAGTTGGAAAGGAGAGCAGGATATAATGTTCATGACAACTTCAGGTTTTAATTTACTTCTTTTGTTAATTAATCAGCACAGTCTGCTTACTTTCTATTGGGATTTTTTCATTGTTGTCATTAACACAAACAACAAATACAATTAGACACTGTTTAAAAAACACATTTACTCAAAGAACTATTTGAACTTCTAAACTATTTTTAATTCAAAGGAAGATTTCTGATTCCAGTTCTGTCTCAACTAGTATGAATTCATTACTTCACATTTCTATATGGATTTAGCTTATTCTTTCCATCCTGTTAAGTAATTATCTGCGCTATTAGGTTTGAATTTGTGTTTTGGAATCTCTCATCTAGCTCCTTTTTGTATTATGACTATTAACTAAAGTGAATTTATTTATGTGTTTTTAAATACGTAATATTACACATCCTGATCTCTTCAAGTGAATCTTTTAAGGGCGGTTATAGCAGAGAGTTGGTGCAACGTATACATTGTTTGAATGGATAATTGTAATGTTGGGTCCAATACCAAAAAGACACACACACACCAAAAATCCACCATTTTGTAGTGAATCTTGGGGGGTTGAGATGTTTTTTCAAACGGGCATCGTGACAACAGCCTGCCACAGAGTTTGGGTCATCAGTGTAGTCGTTAAGCAGGCCGTAATGGGCCGTGCGAGGCTGTTCTGCTCTGGCGCCGGGCCGGCTGACCTGTGGATCACACCAACATTATCGGCCGACGGATCGCACCATTATGCCCTTGATGGAGGGGAACTGTGGATGTGTCTGGAGGAGATCGAAAATGCGTTCCCAGTGTGCTGCCAATCTGCAGACACGCCACAGGCAGGTGTGGGTGTGTGGGGGGGCTCACGCGTGTACTATGTGCAGGAGCACGCGTTCACATGCATTATGTAGGAATCGACATTATGGATTTTGGGTTGTCTATTCATATCCATTAGTAGCCATCCAGTTTATAGCCATTTTGGCTTTTTAAAGTTTTTTCAATAAATGGTTGAATCTGGCACCAGCCGTGCAGCTTGTGCATGTGTGGTCTTCAGTAACTCCACTTCCCTTTTTTGTATCTCATACAGAAGCACTAAAGGTCACAGCTGTCTGCGATGCAGCAGAGACTATCGAACGTGAGGGAAGAGAACCAAACAACGATGGTGAGTGAGAAGACGACAGAAATGCAAACTACAAACGCTAATCACAGTAAATGTCAACTCACTCCTGCCACTCGTTCCTTATTTATTTTATTTCCTTCCACAGATTTGTCATTCCGGGTGACTTCCTTACAAAATGCAATGCTTCTGTTGTCTAGATGACTAATAAGGCAGTTTTAAAATAAAAATAGAAACTCCAATGATACAACATTGTCTTGTGAAATGAAATAAATAATCAACCCTGACCTGCGGCGTTGTTGTATTCCAGCATTCTATGTCTGCCAATTATTCATTTACTCTATCCACATGAAAAGGTTTTTCATGTTTTAGATTAATCAAAATGAATGCAGAAAACTTTCTTCAATGATGATGAACCCGAAAAGTGATATTTTCATAAATAAATTGCTTGAAAAAAACGCCTGTTACCTCCCTCGCCGTGTATACTAAGTGCTTAGTCCCGCTGCCAGCAGTGGTCCGAAGGAGCGGAGGGGAGGCCCGCTTTGATGGAGGTGGGAGTGGGAAAGACTTGCCCACAGCCGCTCTATGACAACACTTGCACACGCTGTCGGCCAAACAAACTGTGCTGGGAGTCAAATTCACTAAGCTGAGGGATGCTGTGTGCAGAGGGGGGGCGTCTCCTTTCCAGTATCAAAAGATGGCTGATTTAATAGTTAGGTTTGTTTTTTTGCTTCTAATTTCAACCCTCCCCTCATGCACGCTTCATCTTTTGCCCTCTTTGTCTCTCATTACGCTTTCATGGAGCACACACAAAATGTTTTATCCGCCAGCCAACCAATCCCACCAGCAGGTCCGGGCACGCCACTAATTGTGGTCGGTTGGCCAAGTCTTCAGCTTGTTGCCAACATAAATTACAGAGTTACAATGCTGAAACTCTCAAAGCCACAAGAAGCACCTCCAACAAGGACCCTGGGCATGAAAACAAGGTAAATAGGCACACACTTTTCACATACAAAAAGGTTTGTACATAAAAATATATATCTTTCAAGGCATGAGTTTATTCCTTTTACTAAATATTTTTCAAAAGCCCACAATTAGCTTCTTAAAAATTAAATTAGCTCAAAACTTAGCGTAACTACAACTGCATACATTTGTATTATTCAGTCACGGTGATAGATTGTATGTCGGCTGTAGAGACAGTTAGAGGTCAAACAGTCTTTTTTACAACGTGCCCTTTTAATTCTGGCCTCTACGTCCAATCCATCAAATACCTCCCTGTTTTTAAACTCGAGAGAAAAAAATAGACAGGTAGCACAGCAGTTGAGTGCGTGCACATACCAACGCACACTGTTGCATGCAGGTACTGTATATGCACGCATTCTTACACACAGTGATTAATGACCAGGCCTGAGTGGGTTCAGTCCTCTACAGGCCCACTTTGAAAGGCCAATACTGATTTCCCCCGTGTGAATATAGAGTACTTGTATGCACGTGTGCAAACTAATTCCCCGTCGAGAGGGGAATTGATAAGATGCACGTCTGTAAAACAAAACGCATGTGTTGCACTCAAAATGTTGCACCTTTTCTAGCGTTACAAAAGGGTTAAAGAGCTTGAACTCTAATTATGACAGTATTTGACATGCTTACTGGTTTAGTTTAGTACTATGCTGAATACAGTGAAACGAGGTTTGGTAGTCTGGCTTTGTATTTTCTTTAACGCATTTGTTATATATAAATGAAAACGAGGCTAGCTGGTTCTCCCTGCTTCTATAAAGCCAGTTTAACTAACAAGCTGCTGGTTGTTGCTCCATTATAAGCATTCCAAATTAACAGAGACGTTAATCCTCTGATTAACTAAAGATTTTTTTACTATTTTGTGAAGTGAATATTCTGTTAAATACACAGAAGAATGTACTTGTTGAGGAAAAGAATGCTATTGACATCCATTGGGTTCCAAATGAGCCATGTCTTTATCCCTATACCTGTCACCCTTTTGATAATAACCACTCGTTTCAAAGGACCCTCTTGGACAAGGGAAGTCTGGCACAAAATTATTTGTTCTAATGTCCTGCGTGATAATACGGCAGCATCTTAGACCCTCACTCTGGAGAAAGTCTACATGGCTCAGTCCCAAAGCACAGAATATGGATCAATGCATCCTTTCTGCTTGAAGAAATTGCATTGTAGACAAGTCGAATGCGGGAAAACGGTGTAGAATGTGTATCCAGAGACGTAATACTGGCAAATATTAGTTACTTATGCGCATGGACTCAGAAATCCAGCAGCAACAGCTTCCTATTTCTAAATGATCACAACATTCAGCATCATGAACTCACTACTATTGAGGACTGTTTTCACAGCAAAAGGAATATGGTTTTCTTTGATGCCTCGCTTTGACCCCCGGCGATGAGGCTGCGCATGATTTGTGTACAACGTGTAGGGCCATTGCTCATCTACTGTAACGCAAACATGACAATGAATAGCAAAATGAAGACCACTTATTCCCTAAGTAAAAACAGATACAAAGAAATCTGTGTAAATTGGCCAAGGCATACCAACAGTCTATAAGCAAACCTTTGGAAAAGCTCACCAAGAAATCCATTAACTGAGCTATGATGCTTGTCAACTTGCATTTGATCAATGCTTGGATTTTGAAACTTCTTTTAAAATGTCACATCCACTTAATATCACAATATTCAGCAGATAGCCCGGGCCTTGAAGGTGTTTCATGCCTTCTAAAGTGGAGAAAATAAATTCTCTCTCATGAAAACTGCGGACAAATGTCACACGCAATGCAAGTTCTATATTGAGCATCACAGACCTTATTTGGTTTCTAACATATTGCAATGGCATGCATAAATGCAGCCAATTACGGACTTTACTTATAAGTTTATATTTCAGGCGTGGATAACAAAAACAATCTTTTTTGTGTGTAACATTATACAGTAATATAAAGACCCTTCAATCATTGGCTGAAAGTGTATGAGTTACGGTCATTGCTACAAAATAAACAGGATACAGTTTAATGAAATAGCCCTCGTTTGCTGCTGTTAATTTATCCTCCTCAAAGGACATGTAACCGGACGACCTCACACTCGGGGGCTCGCACACTTTGTCATGTAGCACAGCTCCTCTTTGTTCAGGCGTGGACGTGACGGAGGAGGTGTTGGAAATATCTTGCTATCACACAGATGACCATCCAACGTATTATTGACTATGCTTTCTTCTGCAGAAACACATACGAAGAACACTTCACATATGTGACTGCATCTACATATTCAAACTTTGCTGATGTGCACGTGTCACGTACTCAGTGTTTTGCCGTGTGCGCTCTATCACGCCGTCGAGTGTTCAAGCCTTTGCAAACTGAGCAGCTGGTCTCCCCTGTGGGAGTCATTAGCAGTAAAGCTCATCCTTTTGTCACACACTCCAGTGTCTGTCCCTCACCTCGCAGCCCAACCTTGGGGCCCGTCCTGTCCCCCCCCCTGCACACCTGACGTTACTTTCCTCTTCTCTGCGACTTCAGGGCTCCTCTGGCTGGCTGCTCCCGTGGAAACGGAGCCAGATAACTGGAAAGAACGGGAGAGGGGGTGAATAAGCAAGAAAGGGACCGGAGCGGATGAAAAAAGGAACACAAGCACGGGATGTGCCGAGGGAGACAATGAGGTCTGTCTTCTCTCCCCCAGCCTATTATCAGTCTCGGAGGACGCACCCACCTATCCTTGTAAAGTCAGAGACAAAGAGAGCTCACGCTCACTTTCTCCCTCTGCGCCGGCTCTCGCGTTATTTCTTAAAACCCCCCTCGCCTCCCGCATCCACCCAACCGTCGGCCTTCGCTCACCGCCTCTGTTCAGTCGTGCCACAGGGAGAGTCAGTTATGCGAGAGCCTCGTCTTCTCTCCTTAATCTCAGCGTGGCAGAGCTGGCTTCGCTTTAGATACACAGAGCCCCACTCACTTGCCTCAGCCCAGAAAACAACACCACTGACATTATGCCAACTCACGCTCCACACCGGCCCCAACAAGCCCAGGCGGATGGAAGAGGAGATAGGGGCCCTAGCATGTGGCTGGATGAGAATGACTGCTGTTCCAATAATTCAATAGATCTTCAATAGAGATGCCCCCCCGCCACCCCATGTTGTTTATATCAGACAGAAAATAAAATAAAATTGATCCCTATGGTAGAAAGTTTAAGATAAAAATAGGCAGTTTACTTGGAAATGCTGTTTCATGGCCCAGAATAGAGGGAAACAATCTTGATTTTCTATGCATGGTTCACTGTCACATACTGTACATAGTGTACTCACTTTAGGATTCCCATGAGGACTGAGGCAATCTCTCAACAGATCCAAATGGTGACAGCGCAGATTGGGAATGAACTCCCTTTATGGATTTTTGCTCCAAATAAAGTGGCTCATTCCCCGTGAATGGCCGTGACCCCAACACAATTAACCTGGCAATTTGTCACTTTCAAGGGCATCCACTGGGAGTTTGGCGTAATTGGCCAACTTGTCATCATCCTTCACTCCCTGATCGGTAATGGAAGAGAGGGGAGATGATAGACATGATTTAACATAACCTATGTGTTATCTCTTCTCTTCTTCCCTTCTTCTTTTTCCTTCCAGCAGTCCCTCATCATTCTACAGAATTATTCTTCTTTCTTAGCAATCATTGATACGCAGATAATTAAGGAGTCTCAAGGCCCCGCAGTCACAGCTGTTATTTAAGAATCACTATTATGTCCTCTTTTACAGCCTGTTAATCACTACTGCTACAACTGCATGTGGAAGCAGGGGCGAGTGCCCTCCCAACTAGATGAATGAAAATAGGATTGATTTCCTATGGAGACACATGGCCAGGCCCGATACACCAGCACACAGGGTAGATCAGGTGTTAATGAATATCAATGATGATCTAATGAAGGAGCGGAATAAAAGAGGGGAACAAAGGAGAGTTAAGGCTCGACTGTGAAGAAGGATGTGTTTTAAAAAGTTACTTGAGGAGTTTAAATACCGCGGAATGTTTGAGAAAATTACGGTCGATGCATTAGAAAACATGCAATTTTCTCAAGTAGTCTTTTTCGACCTTTACTCGAAGACACTTTTACTTCATCACAGCCATTGTCCCTCTGCGGTGGAGCGATTATCAGGGCAACAGGGTGAAGCCTGTCGTCTCA